TTGCATTGGATTTGTCGTTTCTCGACTTTCTCAGAAGTGAGGGAACCGTAATTATTAGTGTGTGTTTTGGTATAGACTGTTTTGACTGTTGTAGTCCCCATGTGTCTGGCACAAACGTTGAATGAAAGTTGAGACGGTGACCTATTAATCTGTGCCTTGTAATTTTTTCTTTAAATCCAGAAGAATTACTGATGATTAGGACCTAATGACTTAGCTCAAGTTCAGTTCCAGTCAACTGCCTTTTAACTGTAGGCGACAGTGGTAACTGTCATAAATACCCCGTAGGCCCGTGAAAATTGAAGAACTACCACAATATTTTATGTCGATATCCTGTATAGCTGAATTTAAAAAAATATATATATATATAAATATATATATAAATATATATATAAATATATATATAAATAAATAAATATATATATATATATATATATATATATATATATATATATATATATATATATATATATATATATATATATATATATATATAGTAAACATCATTAGTAATTTGGTCGACAGGCAACTTTTATTTGTTTATGATAGAGTATACTTGACAACACCCTGGTGATCTTTGTGAGGAAGATACAACAATTAGATGATTGAATATACTATTGAATAGATGTAAACTATTTGTTGGGCGCCTCACAAGAAGTCACGTGTGGGAAATAGTATGGGTATTTATTGACTGGCTTCCCAAGGTGGTGTTAGCTTCAGTACCTACGAAATTTATTGACCTGTGGTCAACGTGTAGATCTGACGACGTTTGCGATGTGTAAAATTAACCCGTCTTAGTGGTAGTACTATCTTTGTTGTTTGCTACACTTTCATTGTGTGTTTTGTTTTCCTTAAATTGTAAATGTAAGATAGGTGGTGTGTGACGGCGGTGAGGGCTACTTGGTTAATGGTCAAACCATCTGTTGAACACCCACCGTGAACGCCGTTTGCCTCGCTCGCTTCTGTCTCTCAGGTTCTTGCCTCGAGTTGTGACCGACCACACGTTGATTCTTCTCCATCACACCGCTCTCCGCTCTGCCAGTGATGGTAACAGCTGAAGAATTTTTGTTTAATCTTTTGATACTTGGTGATTCCGTATAACTGTCTGGTCCCCAAGTTATAGACGGGTATGCTACATAAAGGTTATAGTTAGGCTGTGTAACGTTAAGGTAGCAAGGGGAGAAGATACAGGGAAAGAATGATAGTTAGGTGAGGAAGAAGATTAAGAAGTGGCTGGGTTGTGAAGGTGGAACGGAGAGTGGGTCAAGTTCAAGGCAGTCCGTCCGTCCAGTGTGGCAGCCACTCACCTGACCCGCTTTCCTCCACCGTCACCCGGATGAGGAGGTACAGAGGGAGGAGAACTGTTCGACAAGTGGGTGCTTTTGCCCAGCGGTCCCACTACAGGATACACTTGCAGTACGCTCTCAACAAGTAAATACAACACTTTCCTTCTTCCGGAGAAAGAGATAAAATTAGACGAAGCCGAGACCTTCTGATGAGAAAAGGACACTTGATTAGCCGGGATGGTAAAAAAAGAACAGTAGGTGATTACTTTAGGGTGTTACCAGAGTTCATCCCTGGGTGTTGGTGCTGCCCTGCATTCATAATTATAGTGTACTGCTGATTTTTTTTTGTGTGTATCGCTATTTGCAGAGTAAACAATGGTAGATAGCAGTGGACTAGCTCGTAATGTTGACTTATACTATATAAAGACTGTAGCAAGAGGTGGTTGGTAGCCGAGGTGCTAGGCGGCAGTGGTGGAGGAAGTGACGGTGGTGCGTGCATGCATTTGTGCGTGCACGCGGGCGAGGGTCGTTGACTGCAGCACCAGGGTACTGACGCGGCTGAGGCGGTGGCTTCCACATTGACCTTCTGCTTCCCGCTTCCGCCACTCACCTCCCTCGCAACACTCTTGCTCTCTGTTTATTTATAGAGGACTGCCGTGGAGTTGCTCCATAGAGCCATTATTGTACATGTTCGGCCTCCACCGTGCATACAATAGCCCAACTCCTTAAAATAGATTGATGTGTGAGACTGGAACTTACCTTTGGGTAGTGTCCAGCTCGTGTTGTTAAGCTAGAACACGTAACTGGCCAGAGGATAGTTAAGTGATAAAGACCGGTCGCGGCTTGCCATACACCACATTTCTTGTCCAGGTCTCCTCGTTTTAATCTGGAGGAGTTAATAATATTTACTTTACGAAAGTATTAAAGCTGTTTAAAATGAGTCATTGTCTAAACAAAGATAAAGAAATGTCCTAAAACAATATTTTCCCGTGCGGAACGCATGAAGAACTGTTTGATTAAAGCTGAGTTCGAGGCTTTTCAACAGCAACCCTGGTCAACTTATTAAAGGCGAACTTCCAAGTAATCGCGTAACTCCCCCATCTTTCACACACACACACGGCTGAATTAATTAATTAATTAGTCCTGTTTTTCTCTTAAAATGTATCGAGACCCCGAAGAACATTTATTTGGCTCCCTGTTGTTAGCTATATGAACTGGCTGACCTCGTGTCGTTTCTTCCATATTTTTTTAAATACAAAATTTTTCGGGGTGATCGTCTCGGCATGTACAGTTCTCACCCGGCCTCCACCGTGGTAGTAGTCCCGTAGATGGGAGCAGGTAAACGCCAGGTTATGTTTTTCGTGGTCCCTTGCGATTTTAGCCGTGCCGGAGTAGTGTTTATTTGTCGGTACCACCGTGTGAGGGGTTGAGTAGAAGGTAGTTAGGCTTTTTTTTATAAGGTGTTAGATGAGTGGACCCTATCATTATTAGCCACGCTAGTTTTATATACATGATTAGTTCGAGTTTTATGAAAGTTGTGCGTGTTAGTTCGTCATGCTGTTAAACATGTGAACATGTAGATTTACTGTGTAACTTATGCACGTACTGTATGTTTGACGTAGTCTGGTACCGTAAACTTTCATGTATGACCTAAACGTCGAATAAAAAACGCCCTCGCAAGTAGTACGTCTAAGGCAGTAATGAAAACGAGTAATACGCGTGACCTAGAGGCCATATTAAGTAGAAATACGTGGTAGCCAGGCAATAAGTTTTGTAGGTTTGTCACACCACACCTGGGGAGGGGGGGGGGTTAGTGTGGCAGCTGTTGTCCTGGGTCGGTGTTCACAGTGTTTTGTCTCTCCCTACATGCTCTCATACTTTTTGAGTGCCTCTTCTCCCGCCCTTAACCACTGCTCTTTCTACACCTCACACTTTTAAAATAAATTGTTCTTTAAGTTGAATAAAACAATTCCGAATGTTGTGATTTTTACTCTGCCCGATGGCCCAGAGGTTGTTGTATTCACGTTGTCTGAACATTTCTTAAGAATTATCTTCTCTTAACAATAAAAGTAGAAATATGAAATTTGATTTGTGTTTTTAATGGAGAATTGTATAATGGACGTGGGTTTGGTTTTAGGTGGTGTCGTCGGCTTACACTACGGCAAAAGTTGGTTCAGCTCCTTGTAGCAAGAAATGTGTTGTGGGGAATCCACACATTTAACGTGGGAGTGGTCGCAGTGGCAGTATCGGATTGTGGTAGACTATAGTGTTGGTAGAAGTAGTGAGGGTTGTGGTGGTGGTAGCAATGAGGGTGGTGGTGGCAGTGCGGGTTGTGGTGGTAGAAACAATGAGGGTGGTGGTGGACAGACACTAGTGGTGGTGGTAGAAGCAGTAAGTGTTGTGGTGGTAGAAGCAGTAAGGGTTGTGGTGGTAGAAGCAGTGAGGGTTGTGGTGGACAGACACTAGTGGTGGTGGAGCAGGAGTGAGCTTGGTTCAAGGTTAGGGGAAGTGGGGACCAGCAGTCCACACAATACGCCTTCCTTCACCCAGCAGCACACCGGCTCCCACCGCAACTTTTCCTGCCTCCACACTGCTCGCGCTCTTATCATCTCCTCTCTCGTCTTGTGCTCTTTAGCCGTGGTTTACATTTACATGAGGTAGTTTGAATGCCGGGTGTGGAGCAGACGGCTCTTCCTAAAGAACTTCCCTTTCACCCGCCCCACCGTCCCTTACCTCCCGCCACCCCTCCCTTCTCACTACCTATCCTCGGATGGACTTTAATGTAAAAGTTGGTGGGAAATTGTTCGTGTATTCTATCTGTACGTAATATCCTTCATTGGCTACTACTGTTACCTTCAGCCTTGTCTTTAGTGTAGGTAGATACATTTCATCACACGGTGTTAAGAAAATGTAAAAAATCTGCCTCTTCTCCCAACGGAAATGCTGAGGGTTTGACGATAACGGGGTGTAGAATGAATAAACTGCACTGAAATATTTGTGTATGTTGGACGTGTCTTGGTTGTGTGTGTGTAAGAGATCCTCCTTTATGAGGCATTCGTTAACATGCACCTTGTGTTAGTCTACCCGGTGATCATGCACCTTGTGTTAGTCTACCCGGTGATCATGCACCTTGTGTTAGTCTACCCGGTGATCATGCACCTTGTGTTAGTCTACCCGGTGATCATGCACCTTGTGTTAGTCTACTCGGTGATCTTGCACCTTGTGTTAGTCTACCCGGTGATCATGCACCTTGTGTTAGTCTCATGCACCGGTGATCATGCACCTTGTGTTAGTCTACCCGGTGATCATGCACCTTGTGTTAGTCTACCCGGTGATCATGCACCTTGTGTTAGTCTACCCGGTGATCATGCACCTTGTGTTAGTCTACCCGGTGATCATGCACCTTGTGTTAGTCTACCCGGTGATCATGCACCTTGTGTTAGTCTACCCGGTGATCATGCACCTTGTGTTAGTCTACCCGGTGATCATGCACCTTGTGTTAGTCTACCCGGTGATCATGCACCTTGTGTTAGTCTACCCGGTGATCATGCACCTTGTGTTAGTCTACCCGGTGATCATGCACCTTGTGTTAGTCTACCCGGTGATCATGCACCTTGTGTTAGTCTACCCGGTGATCATGCACCTTGTGTTAGTCTACCCGGTGATCATGCACCTTGTGTTAGTCTACCCGGTGATCATGCACCTTGTGTTAGTCTACCCGGTGATCATGCACCTTGTGTTAGTCTACCCGGTGATCATGCACCTTGTGTTAGTCTACCCGGTGATCATGCACCTTGTGTTAGTCTACCCGGTGATCATGCACCTTGTGTTAGTCTGTTAGTCTACCCGGTGATCATGCACCTTGTGTTAGTCTACCCGGTGATCATGCACCTTGTGTTAGTCTACCTGGTGATCATGCACCTTGTAGTCTCACCCGGTGATCATGCACCTTGTGTTAGTCTACCCGGTGATCATGCACCTTGTGTTATTCACCCGGTGATCATGTGTAAGGTCTACCCATGCACCGTGTGATCATGCACCTTGTGTTAGTCTACCTGGTGATCATGCACCTTGTGTTAGTCTACCCGGTGATCATGCACCTTGTGTTAGTCTACCCGGTGATCATGCACCTTGTGTTAGTCTACCCGGTGATCATGCACCTTGTGTTAGTCTACCCGGTGATCATGCACCTTGTGTTAGTCTACCCGGTGATCATGCACCTTGTGTTAGTCTACCTGGTGATCACCATTAACTTTGTAACAGTCAACCTGATTGTGTACTTGATCATCACATGATTTACCTGCAGTATACCCAATAGTAAAGGGTGGAGTGAGTGTCACTCTACCTTGTATCACTTTACCTGGGCAAGGGGTGTCGGTCATTGCACCTGGTACCAGTGGTGATCATCTTATTGTGTTGTATTATAAGGGAGGGTACACGTCCTTCGTAGTACCAGTTACGTCACTACGATAGACGGTTTCCACGGGTTAGATAGATAGCCTTGTGAGCCATTGAGAGATTAACCATTTGGAAAGGTGCATTTGGGAGTCGGCGGACAACAAAGCACTCTTACCTGCGGTAGATTACCTGGGGAATAAGAAGTTGAGCACGTGTGTAAAGTGGCGTGGGGCGGCGTGTGGGTCCCAGGTGAAATAAGCTAATGGGTTGTTAGCGACTCGTGCGGCTGTGGTGCCTCTTCATGTAATCGCCTTCTCTTCTGCGGATGAACCTAGCTTCTCTGCTCACATGGCTGCCAAGCTAACTTGTTCAGCAACTACACCAAAAAGGAGACCTGGGTAATCCCTCACCGTTGGTACACTGCTTCGTATGGCCAGTAATTTGTGTAGTTAAGTCTTGGCTGTTGAGTGATTATTAAATCATTTCCTGTGCACTTCTTCAGGTGGTTCTTGTATATATATATATATATATATATATATATATATATATATATATATATATATGAGGGGTGGTGGGTAAAAGAGATAGTGTGGATTGTGTGAGGAGGCTTGACGGGGCCCGGTGATGGCATGGATGGTTGATATGTGTGTGGAATATGTTGATGAATATGGATGTGTGGATGAGGTCGGTGGATAGCGGCGGGGGGTTATGACAGGGGGAAGGTGGTAGTATGGTGGTGCTGGTAGTGCGGGCTGAATCAATAGAAAGCGTCGGCAGTACTCAGCACCACCACGACGGCCCACACCTGGCCCGCCTCGCCCCCACCTCAATACTGCGGCCTGGACATCATCCCTACCCCACCTCACCCCACCCCACTACGTTTGATTCCACTCCACCCTCTCCTTTCACCACTCACAACCTTCTCCAACCTTTACCAAGTCACCTGTTCGCTAGACATCTCTACCTTTCCATCGTCACTACACTACCACTTACCTTTACACTGTAACCACCACCACCCATCGTTGTCTTGGAATGCAGTAAGCCGCCCTGGGGAGGTGAAAAGGTGGGTGATTATTCTGGTGACTGATGCAGTTCTGATTATTGTCTTCCATGACGTTGCGTCCTCCCCGCGCGTATTTTTGTTCACAAGTAAGAGTTGCCTCCCTTTAAGATTTTTTTAGACGATTGATTAGTAATTGATATTTCGTCAATTTGACCAAGGACAGCTGACAAAGCCATGACATGATTGTTTCCGTAGTCCTTATGCCAGCAGCATCTGGCGGCCACCCATCCATGTACTAACCAGACCCAACGTTGCCTAACTTCGCTGGTCGGACAAGAAGCTGTGTTTCCAACGTAGTACTACTGACAATTTACCAGTGAAATACTGTAGCTTATTTTGGGGGAAGTAGTAATTTAGGTCAAAGGGACAAGAACAGGTCTCGCGAGAAATTTATTGGAAGGATGATATGGACTGACATTTGGATGTGTTTAAGAGACAATCTATTTGATTTTTATTTAGGTTTCTGGAAAAAAAGAGTTCAGGAAGGTAAAGAAGAAGCAGTTGGAGGGATGAACAGAGGATTGAGTTGTGTACGTGAAAGGAGTACAATTGTCGAGCTTGAATAAAATAAGGAATTGAAACTGGCAAAATAGTGAGCACTGTTTGAGTGGTCTGGGAACGTGTCAATCATTTGGGAAATAAAACAAATGGGTGTAGTGCAGAAGACGTCAGGTATTACCTTCTCCTCTACCTGGGTTAGTTGAGTAGCAATAACGGGAGCGTGAGTGGTTAGTGCTTCAAGTGACTTAACTTTTCTGTATTGATTATGAACCATGTCAAGTGATTGTTTTGGTTCCGTCCTCTTACCAGTGGCCAAAATACCTCCGGATAGGGAATATGTTTAGGCACTCGAGATGTAGGCATCCTACTGGGTAGGCACAGGAATCTTATACCCCCAAATTCGTATAGAATAACAGAACTGTAGTGAGTAACGATTGTAAAGGAATTTATAGCCTAGGGCACTCCCATGACCCGAGTTTATTCAGCTGCTTTTACACCCGTCATTCTTGGTTTGTATAAGCATTAGGAGAGATTCACTCGCTTTGCCTTTCAATATCCACCGCTTGATTTGTTTTTTCTAACTACGTTCAGTTATCCCATTTTGGATTAATTGGAGATGTCAGAAGTACCTGTACTCATTACGCCCGTAGCTAAAGGGTTTAGACCAGGGGTTCTCAACCAGGGGGGAATTTCCCCCCTCTGGTTTTCAGGGGGGGGGGGAAACTGATACTAATATGGAAAAAATAAAGGATTTTCAGTATTATATGCACATTATTTGGAATGCACTTTTTGAGGCAGACAATCTTGGAAAGGACATTCTGACTAAGAGTGGTGGTTTTCATCATGTGATGGTTATTATAAACCAAACGGTTGGATCATGTTAAAAAAGTAATTGAGGCCGTAATACTGGAGACGGGAGGAAGACTATCTTAGTGAGAAGTGTGTCGCCCACAAGTTCCACTGTGAACGTGATTGTCAGGTGACGCTCAACTTTTTTGCACTCACAGCTTGTCTGTCTAACTTTGGTCAAATGTTTGTATTTATTGCACTTTTAGACTCTGCGGGCATATGTTGTAAGATTTTCAGGTGTAAAGATTGGAGTTTGGTTTGGTCACTGCTAGAGTGTGTCGGATACAACAACGCGTATTGAACCCCGAACAACCTGTGGCGACTGTTACCCATGTAATACCTTTATATTACCATGAACACTTACCGGTAATGTCTTGCTGACTACTAATGGACAAGCTTACTAGAAGGATATTAATGGATTAACAGCATTATGTCGGAGAGGCCCGTCAAGCCCACTGGAATTCGTATAGTACTCTGGAGGTGTTGGAGTACATGGGAGAAGATCCACAATATAATAGTGACACCAGGCAGGGGCGAAGAGACGAGTGAGCGGGGAAGATGAATATCATAACTATTTGGATATTATCTTCCTGGGAACCACAAGATGGTGACGGAGGCAGCACCAATTATTGCTGGATTACCTGGATGTGAGCTTCGGCAGGATGGAGGGGTGAGCATGGCAATTACCTGCGGATTAGGTTGGGGAGGGGGGGGGCGGCATGTTAGCCCGGCCACACTGTCTCTGTAATGAACCACAAGGGATCCTCCACCTTCCTATTCCCCTCTTCACCTCCTTCTGTTCCCATGGTCTCCACACGTTTCCAGTACAGTACCTGTTCCCCATTATACAAGTATAATATATAGTCGTAATATTGGCGTCTCTTGGTGTTGTCAGCTGTTATCTTGTGTACTTTCATATACTGTACAGGGTGTCCATAAATGATTACCCTAAAAACAATATGATCTCATGTTTTAATCAGGGTAATCATTTATGGACACCCTGTATATACTGTACAACATAATTCCATCCACATTTGTGAATGAAAGCAGCTCTCTAGGTTAGGTTCATTAATGTCTACTTTTGTCTCACGCTGGAATGATGGAGGACGACCTGAGTCAACAGTATCAATTTGTTGTTTATTGAGGCGCGACAATTATAGGATACTACCTCGGTGTGTATATAGACCCTGGAGGATACTGCACTTGTCTCCTTACCCGACGCTCGCCTATTTGTCTCCAGTCGACCCAGCTGTAACAGTGTTTACCTAACTAAATACTAGTAGGGTGCAGTACTAACCACGCCGCCCCCGTCTGAAGTTTAAGTCTTTGAGCTTCATGTATCCACCCACAACTGTAGGTGCCTAATTTCGCTTTACGCCGCTGTAACAGATGTGTTCAGATAAGGTTTGCCCCTTCCACAACAAGGCCTCAATATAAATGTGGTTTTATCACCGTTGCTTCACACAGTACAGCGTCAACCACCAGCAGCACATGTGTTCCCCAAGACCACTCGGTGCCGTGCATTATGAGAACAGTGATATGAAAAGAAAGAAATTAGAATAATCAAATGAAGTGGAGTACTGTGACGGGCAATTTAAGAACCTTAGTTATTCAGTCATGTTAGCATACATACTAAGTCACCTGTTCATCGTTCCTATATACCATGTAGATGTTTTTTTGTGTGTGTACAAACTCAACATTGTTAACGGAAAAAAAATCGATCATCCTGCTACCACATTCATATAATTTTCATATTTTTTCCTGACGCGGCTAGCAAAGTGTTAATGAAAACGCTATTGTCTGAACGACTTTCCCTGAAAAACTTTGTGACGTTTTTTTTGCATATTTTGTCGTAATTTTGCGTTTCCGGTTGTCGTTTACTAATTTTCTATTTAGCAAGTATAAACAATGACTAGGTAACACAGCAATAACCACCGCAGTCAATTGTGATTAAATATAAAAGATAATAATTTTATTTTATTATTATTATTTTTCACTGATGACAGCTATACACCGGCATTCTGGTGTTCTTTGTTTTCCACTCATTTTGACGCCGTCTGTTAACAGTGTAAGTCACCTCGGCCTCGTGTTTTGAGCGGAATTCTACCAGTTTTCTAGAAAAGATGAATGTGGGCGATTGATCTGCTTGTGCCAAGGTTGTTCCGCTCTGGTAACTCTTGGCAGTTGTTCTTTTTGTTTAACCACAGCACCAGGGTGTTTCGCGGAGATGCCTCTTGTGCTTCTTGTGCTGTCCTCGTGGGCTCCCCCCCTCTATCCCATTGGTCTTGTCCCCCTATCCCGGTGTTCTTGTCCCCCTATCCCAGTGTTCTTGTTCCCCTATCCCAGTGACTTTGCTCCCCCAGTTGTT